TTGAGTGGGCTAATTTCAGAAGGGCTGTGTACAGGTGCAGTGATCGGTAAGGTGCTCTGACAACTGATGCTTAAAGTTAGTGAGGGAGATACAAGTCTCCAGCTTCAGAGATTTTTGCAGTTTGTTCCAGTCATTGGCAGCAGAGAACTGGAAGGAATGGCGGCCAAAGGAGGTGTTGGCTTTGGGGATGACCAGTGAGATATACCTGCTGGGGCGCAGACTACGGGTGGGTGCTGCTATGGTGACCAATGAGCTAAGATAAGGCGGAGATTTGCCTAGCAGTGATTTATAGATGGCCTGGAGCCAGTGGGTTTGGCAACGAATATGTAGTGAGGACCAGCCAACAAGAGCGTACAGGTCACAGTGGTGGGTAGTATATGGGGCTTTGGTGACAAAACGGATGGCACTGTGATAGACTACATCCAATTTGCTGAGTAGAGTGTTGGAGGCTATTTTGTAAATTACATCGCCGAAGTCAAGGATTGGTAGGATAGTCAGTTTTACGAGGGCATGTTTGGCAGCATGAGTGAAGGAGGCTTTGTTGCGAAATAGGAAGCCGATTCTAGATTTAACTTTGGATTGGAGATGCTTAATGTGGGTCTGGAAGGAGAGTTTACGGTCTAACCAGACACCTAGGTATTTGTAGTTGTCCACATATTCTAAGTAAGACCCGCCGAGAGTAGTGATTCTAGTCGGGCTGGCGGGTGCAAGCAGCGTTCGATTGAAGAGCATGCATTTAGTTTTACTAGTGTTTACGAGCAGTTGGAGGCTACTGAAGGAGTGTTGTATGGCATTGAAGCTCGTTTGGAGGTTTGTTAACACAGTGTCCAATGAAGGGCCAGATGTATACAAAATGGTGTCGTCTGCGTAGAGGTGTATCTGAGAGTCACCAGCAGCAAGAGTGACATCATTGATATACACGGAGAAAAGATTTGGCCCAAGAATTGAACCCTGTGGCACCCCCATAGAGACTGCCATAGGTCCAGACAACAGGCCCTCCGATTTGACACATTGAACTCTATCTGAGAGTAGTTGGTGTACCAGGCGAGGCAATCATTTGAGAAACCAAGGCTATTTAGTCTGCCAATAAGAATGCGGTGGTTGACAGAGTCGAAAGCCTTGGCCAGGTCGATGAAGACGGCTGCACAGTACTGTCTATTATCGATCGCGGTTATTATATCGTTTAGGACCTTGAACGCGGCTGAGGTGCACCCATGACCAGCTCAGAAACCGGATTGCATAGCGGAGAAGGTACGGTGGGATTTGAAATGGTCGTTGATCTGTTTGTTAACTTGGCTTTCGAAAGGCAGGGCAGGATGGATATAGGTCTGTAACAGTTTGGATCTAGAGTGTCACCCCCTTTGAAGAGGGGGATGACCGCAGCAGCTTTCCAATCTCTGGGGATCTCAGACGTTACGAAAGAGAGGTTGAACAGTCTAGTAATAGGGGTTGCGACAATTTCGGCGGCTATTTTTAGAAAGAAAGGGTCCAGATTGTCTAGCCCAGATGATTTGTAGGGGTCCAGATTTTGCAGCTCTTTCAGAACATCGGCTGTCTGAATTTGTGTGAAGGAGAAGCGGGGGGGGGGGGGGGGGGGGGGGGGGGGCATGGGCAAGTTGCAGCGGAGGGTGCAGAGCTGGTGGCCGGGGTAGTGGTAGCCAGGTGGAAAGCATGGCCAGCCGTAGCAAAATGCTTGTTGAAATTCTCGATTATTGTAGATTTATCGGTGGTGATAGTGTTTCCTAGCCTCAGTGCAGTGGGCAGCTGGGAGGAGGTGCTCTTATTCTCCATGGACTTTACAGTGTCCCAAAACTTTTTGGAGTTAGTGCTACAGGATGCACAATTCTGTTGGAAAAAGCTAGCCTTTGCTTTCCTAACTGCTTGTGAATATTGGTTCCTAACTTCCCTGAAAAGCTGCATATCGCGGGGGCTATTCGATGCTAATGCAGTATGCCACAGGATGTTTTTGTCCTGGTCAAGGGCAGTCAAGTCTGAGGAGAACCAGGGGCTATATTTGTTCTTAGTTCTGAATTTTTTGAATGGGGCATGCTTATTTAAGATTGAGAGGAAAGCACTTTTAAAGAACAACAAGGCATTCTCTACTGGCGGAATGAGATCGATATCCATCCAGGATACCTTGGCCAGGTCAATTAGGAAGGCCTGCTCGCTAAAGTGTTTTAGGAAGCGTTTGACAGTGATGAGGGGTGGTCGTTTGACCGCGGGCCTGTTATGGACGCAGGCAATAAGGCAGTGATCGCTGAGATCCTGGTTGAAGACAGCGGAGGTGTATTTAGAGGGTAAGTTAGTCAGGATGATATCTATGAAGGTGCCCATGTTTACGGATTTAGGGTTGTACCTGGTAGGTTCCTTGATAATTTGTGTGAGATTGAGGGCATCTAGTTTGGATTGTAGGATGGCCGGGGTGTTAAGCATATCCCAGTTTAGGTCACCAAGCAGTACGAACTCTGAGGATAGATGGGGGAAATCAATTCACATATGGTGTCCAAGGCACAGCTGGGGGCTGAGGGGGGTCTGTAGCAAGCGGCAACAGTGAGAGACTTATTTCTGGAAAGGTGGATTTTTAGAAGTAGGAGCTCAGACCTGGATAGTATGATAGAGCTCTGCAGGCTACCTCTACAGTAGATTGCAACTCCACCCCCTTTGGCAGTTATATCTAGACGGAAAATGTTGTAGTTGGGGATGGACATTTCTGAATTTTTGGTGGCCTTCCTAAGCCAGGATTCAGACACTGCTAGAACATCAGGGTTGGCGGAGTGTGCTAACGCAGTGAATAACTCAAACTTAGGAAGGAGGCTTCTGATGTTAACGTGCAGAAAACCAAGGCTTTTACGGTTACAGAAGTCAACAAATGATAACTCCTGCGGAGTAGGAGTGATACTGGGGGCTGCAGGGCCTGGGTTAGCCTCTACATCACCAGAGGAACAGAGGAGGGCTAGAATAAGGATACGGCTAAAGGCTTTAAGAACTGGTCTTCCAGTGCGTTGGGTACAGAGAATAAAGGGGGCAGATTTCCGGGCGTTGTAGAATAGATTCAGGGCATTCTGTACAGACAAGGATATGGAAGGATATGAGTACAGTGGAGGTAAACCTAAGCGTTGAGTAACAATGAAAGAGATAGCATCACTGGAGGCACCGATTGAGCCGGTCTCAGCGTGTATGAGGGCTGGAACAAAGGAGCTATTTGAGGCAGTTTGAGAATGACTTGGGGTTCGATATTGAAATTGTATAATAAGAACTAACTGGAACAGCAATAGGCAAGGCATATTGACATGGGAGAGAGGCATAAAGCAATCACAGGTGTTATTAGAGAGAGCTAAGACAACAACTGGTAATGGTGATGAAAGTTTGGGCTGAGGCTAAACAGATAAACAGGACAGGGTACCATGTAAAGCAGGGTTCTTCAATTCCGGTCCTGGAGGGCCGAAACTCTTCTGTTTTTTATTTCTACCTGGTAGTTAATTGCACTCACCTGGTGTCCCAGGTCTGAATTAGCCCCTGATTAGAAGGAGAGGATGAAAAACAGAGGTGTTTCGGCCCTCCAGGACCGGAATTGAAGAACCCTGGTGTAAAGGAACAGTCCAACAGGCATCAGCTGTGCAGCTGAGAGATCATAAGGTCCAGTGAACAGCAATATGTGAGTCTGAGAGCAGTTCGAATTGGTGCTAAAGCACAGCGAGCAGGAAGCACGGCTTTTGTTTGCGTGTGCTAGCGGGCCGGGGCTAGCAGATGGATCTTCGTGGTCGTCGCAATGGGAAGCCTGTTGAAACCACAGACGATTACGTCGGCAGACCAGTCATGATGGATCGGCGGGGCTCCGTGTCGACTCTAGGAGGTCCCGTCCGGTTAACAAAGAGGTAGATAGCCGGGAGATGTGCCTGACTCAAGGCTAGCTCCAGGCTGATTAGCCAACAACAACATTCATTTGGTTGCAGCTAGCAAGTTGCGATGATCAGGTGTTAAAGGTCCAGTGATTTAGTGATTCCGGCAGAAAATCCGATATGTTCTGGGTCGATAACGCGCTGTGCAGACAGTGCAGACTGGCCGATAATAGTCCAGGCTAGAGCTGGCTGGTAGGTAGTGCAGGCCATGGACAATGGTGAAAAACCGCTAACGGTGGCTAATAGCAAGTAGCTAGTTAGCTGGCTACTCCCGTCCGGTAGACAAAGAGGTAGATAGCCGGGATATGGGCCTGGCTCTAGGCTAGCTCGAGGCTAACTGGTGCTTGCTTCGGGGGCAGTGGTGATTAGCCTACAGTGTACATTTGGTTGCGGCTAGCTAGTTGCGATCCGGTGTTAGGGTCCAGTGATTCAGTTATTCCGGCAGAAAATCCAATGTTCTGGGTGAAAACCGCTAACGGTGGCTAATAGCAAGTAGCTAGTTAGCTGGCTAGCTAGTTTCAACTGGAGATTCTAGATAAAGGTGAGTAAATAATAGAATCCGTTCCACATTGAGTGAGGCGGGTTGCAGGAAAGTATATTTAGTAGAAGGATGAAAAGTGTGATAGGGAAATATGTACGAAAAATACGCCATCTTGGAAATGCAAACGTGTAGTGTATTTTAAGTTAAAAAAGTATTCTAAAGTTAGTATTTTCCACTCTAAAATGTCAGACTTGATTTGCTCTAAAGAAAAATGTATCAACCCCATTAATTATAATCCACATAATAATTCACATTTCCTGTTGCTGCAGGATTATTTTCCTGCTGTAGCACACTGGCTCAAATTAAGATCCTACATCTGTAGTAGTGTGCTGTGGAACACGGTCTCTCTCACACACAAGACACCAGATAGCCAATGCAAGGCCTCCTTGCACGAGCCAACCTCATCCCTGGCAACGTGTCCCGCGCGCTCATTGGTAGAATGTTGCAGTGAGAATGAAACTTTGGGAGGTTTCACACGAGCCGTTCGCGTGCAGCCTCCTCTATAAATACGACCCGGGGTGAAAGTAACAGTGTTGACTTGTTATCAACACCGCACTGACAGGACGTTACCTCAGCAATAGCTACATTATAATAAACGCCTGTAACGAACAGCGTTGGTCAGAAAAAGTGCATAACCGGTGTTTGAATATTACTCAATAGGCTGGACCTTCTTTAACAATTTTGGGACATTAAAAAGGATCTGCTTAAGTTGGCTGGACGATTGTGGGATATTAAAACTTGAAGATGCCAGCTGATATTTTGGAGAAAACATCCCCATCCTCTGTCGCAGCCACCCCGTCGAGTGTCAGTGGAACTCCGGATAAACCAAGGACTGCCTCAGAGCACAGAAAGGTACAAAAATGCACCGAAAGAAAACGATTGCTTTTTACATGTCAATTATTGTTTTTTATTATTATGTGTTAAAATCATGTGGTCTGTTTTTTTCTTTGAAGTCCTCAAAGCCAATTATGGAGAAGAGAAGACGCGCGCGAATCAATGACAGCCTTGGTCAGCTAAAGACCCTCATCTTGGATGCACTAAAGAAAGATGTAAGTTTTTATAAAAATAGGTAATTACCATATTCCATATAGACATTTATGTCTACGACATATGCTTCTATCGTTATGGACTGGAACGAAGCTCAAATAGATTATTAATCATGTGTCATTTTCTTCTTGATGTCAATTTAGAGCTCGAGGCATTCGAAGCTCGAGAAGGCGGACATCCTTGAGATGACTGTGAAGCACCTTAGGAATATGCAGCGTCTCCAAACTACTGGTAGGTTTTTTTTTTTTATCGCTAATTGATTACAGTAATTCTAGACTTGCATACATAGAATCTGGCTGTGCCCATTTGGCACGCACCGCAGTTCCCACGGTCCTATATTTACCCAAGCTTATCAAAGCTATTGATAGACCTACTGAGTATTATATAATTAGATTGTAATGATTTTCTGAGCAATATATCCTCAAATATATCATGTTTTTGGCTTTACAGCAGCTATAAGCAGGGATCCATCAGTATTTGGCAAATACAGAGCGGGATTCAGCGAATGTATGAGTGAAGTCACCCGTTTTCTGTCCACATGTGGAGGGGTGAACACGGAGATCAGGACCCGACTTCTCAGCCACTTAGCCGGCTGTGTGTCACAGATAAACACCGTAAACTTCTCAACTCAATGCCAGATCCCCACCTACCCTCCGCATCCAGCGCATCCATTGCGCGGCCAAGCCATTGCGAAAATCCCAAGTGCATCTCCTCAGTTAAATGGAATAATGCCTTGCAAAAGTGGCTCGCCTATCAACCTCACATCAGAAATGGCTACATTATACAGTGGACTTCAAATTGTGCCGGCGGCGACAGATGGACAATTCGCCATTCTGATTCCAAGCCTGGGTCTTGCGCATATGAGCGCGCCGAACGCGATACATGGCAATCCAGCACTTGCGGTGGCTGTGTCACCTGTTGCGCCTCCCGTCACCGCAGACTCCGTGTGGAGACCATGGTAGGGTCAACTGCGTGCATTAGACTGAAGGACTTTTACGCACAGTGACGAATTTTTTTACGGGAAGTATTCCGTCAGATATTACATTTACATTTTTTACATTTTACTTTTTTATATTTTCGTATAGGCTGTTCAAAGCAAGACTCAAGAGTGCTGTTTACGCAGATGTTGTTATTCTTTGATGGAGGATACAGTACACCTTTCCATTCGTTTTTTTTTCTATTTGTATGTCAGTGATGTCATGAATATGTGTTATTGTTGTGATGCTAAATATGATTCAAATGCCCATAAATGTCTTCCTTCAGGAAATCAATAAATTCTTTAAATGAAATTGAAATGCTTTACACCTCGAACTGGCCATATCTTACCTACATTAAACATAATTATCTATCCTTGCCCTAGTGATGTGCTGTGATTGATGACCCTATCAAGGCTTATCTAACCACAGAATGAAATAGAACACTGAATTATAGGATCTCGAGCTATGCATCAAACACGGGACAGCTCTTACTGCTGTCAAGCAAACTCCTCAAGTACTTCCATATCTGAACATCTACCTTCCCATCCAACCTCACCTCTGACCTATCATTGATCGATGAAGGGACATGCAAGAATTCTAACCATGATTTAAGATTCAAGCTATATAGGCTACACCAACCCATGGCCAGGTTCTAGTGCTCTAACTTTGCATTTACACAGGCAGCCCAATTCTGATCTTTTGCCCAATAATTGGGCAAAAGATCACTATTGGACTGCCGGTGTAGACGCTGCCTTTCTCCACCACCAAAGTGTTATCTTCCCATCTGATCCGTTTTAGCTTCATCTGTCTTGTACTTCCATCCAGGAAAACCGTTTCCCCCCGACTGGGAATAAATAGCTCCCAGATGAGGTAAGGAACCCGAGATATCGGGAGAACGACTCTCAGCCAACAGAGAGATGACCAGGATAGGGGCGGAGGGAGGCGGGTAGCCCGTTTGACACGCGCAGGGCTGCCTGCCGGAGAGGAAATGCTGACACACACAGGAAAGGGGCTGAACATGGGGAGAGAGGGCTCTGGAGGGATTGAGGGTGGGAGAGAGTTGGGAGGGCCAGACGAAATGCTCCTAGCTTGTTAGTGACACCCATTAACTGTATGGTGACACCCTCCATGCGTGCTGTTGCTCCGGTTAGAGGTTACCAGAGGTCACAGATCTAACGTCTGAGTGAGGGGATATACGAATGCGAAAGTAGCGTCAAGCTACAGTGTACTGCTTTAAATTCATGAGGTTCGGGTGTTTAATTATGCGCTCTTCATTCTTTAGCATCTTTTTCTTAAAACACTATATATGCTTTTAAATTGGTGTGAGTGGTAAGAATATATATAAAGTAAGGTATGAAGGTTTTGCTACCCAAGGTATCACACAGTGTTCCGCTCAAATCATAATTGACACTTGTGACTGTGAGTCAAGCTTGCCATTAAGCTTAAAGGGATACTCCTCCACAAAATCACAATACATTTAGAAAGTAACTGGATGGTACAAATCAGACTAGTAGCTAAATTATTCAAAGTGACCTAAACCCCTATTTGATTTGGCAGTTTAGTGACAACCTGGGAATAGCGCTGCTGTCCATTTAGCGGTCTGTCAGCCAGCTAATGGAGTGACTAGCCTAGTGTGTGTCCAGGGTTGAGTGCTCCCACAGTGGGCCATGAGAAGAGCTTGACCAGGGGTCACAGGTGCCTGTCACTCTGCCTTACAGGACTGGACTAGCCTAGTACCAGATCTGTTTGTGTTGTCTTGCAACTCTGTTTGGCATGACAATGACCATAGGATTTGGCAAGACAGCACAAACAGCTCTGGGACCAGGCAAGGACTGGACAGCTCCAATACAGCATGCAGACTGATTTTTTTTTAAAATGGTGTCACTATAGGACACCCTTTTAAAAACAGGAAGAAGGTAGAGCTAGCGTAAAATGAGAGAGCAATAATCGGAGTATTTGTGATCTAATAACCTTTAATTCTACAATTTACCTCCATGGTCTTAAGAGTGCAGACACCAGTGCATAGAATGCATAGTATTTGAAGTGATACAGTGCAATTGGGAAGCTTTTTCACACTTTTAGAATATAACCCCTAGAAAATGGCTGAAAACCTTTGGGTTAAATAGAGTTGCTTTTTTCTAATTTCATAGCCCAGTTACATTTTACATTTTAGTCATTTAGCAGACGCTCTTATCCAGAGCGACTTACAGGAGCAATTAGGGTTAAGTGCCTTGCTCAAGGGCACATCGACAGATTTTTCACCTAGTCGGCTCGGGGATTAGAACCAGCAACCTTTCGGTTACTGGCACAACGCTCTTAACCACTAAGCTACCTGCCTATCATACAAGTTATTTTCATTATCAAACAACTTTTACATTTTTTATTGGCCCATCCACCTCTTACAGCTTTTTTGTTACATATACATTTGACACACATGGTACTTTTATACACATTAGTTACATAACAAAGATATCGTTTTTATATATACACATTACATTTGGATAGATAGTACTCAGACATCTCCGGTATACATTATATATAGTGTTTACTGTAATAACTATTACCGATCATGAGCTTTTTAATCCCACCCCTCTGCTACTCTCAGCCCATCCCACCTATCTCCGTAGACCACCCTCTTTTGATTATCAAACAACTTTCTAATTCAGCATATTTTCAACATGGAAACACAGTCAAACCCACTCTCGCACACAATGCTGTCAATTAAGTAATCTCTGTTTTGCCCAAACACACCACTCTGGCCCTAACAGCCAAATAAATCCTCCCTTATCAGGACCAGACCATTGAGAAAGGGCCCCACAATACAAAAACAAAGGCAGGCCCCCAGTGGCTCAATGGCTCCTCTCTTTGTGGCCCTCTCACTCTTCATAAAGGGCCCTGCTCTTGTTTATCCAGAAGGAGGTTTAATGGTCTGCAGGAGGGAGGACCATGCTGTCACTTTCACCATGCTGAGACTGGAGGCTCATTGTTGAGTAGCTCCTAAAGCTCCTATAAGGCTCCTATAAGGCCAGGCTACTCTCTTCAGAGACAAGAGAAGGCCACTACTGAAGCTCCGAACAGGTTTGAGTTTCATCTAGCCTATCACCAGCTCCTCTCTCAAACCCTTTCTATGGGCCACCTGAAGTATAATGGATGCATTTAGAGTGGTGTTGGGTGGAGGCCGGCCCGGGATTCAACAACAGCTGATGGTCTCTCTATATCAACACTGTTTACCAGTGGTAGCTAAGACACACGCCCCTCTCATTCTTCTCCTTTCTCCTCCTTCCTGCCCCTTTTCTTCTACCTCCTCAAAGGAAGGATGACAAGCACTAAGTTTGCTCGGGCCTGGCCCCTCAGTGTGGTCATTGATTGATGAGTCATTGGTCACAAAGACAGTGACGGTGAGAGGAACCCTGCTATGGGAAATCTTCCTGACATGTACCGGAAACCTCCGCTGTGACTGCCTCTATGTTGAATTGGCCTGTATTGTTCTTGGGGGCTGTAACAATGTTTTCCAAGGGTGAAGTCTGTGAGCAAATAGTTCACATCCGATGGCTATGCTAAACAAATGCATAGATTATGCACTTGACATCAGTGGTGAATGAATTCAGATACTTGTGAACTAGAGAATGGCCCCTTATCAACACTCATCGTATTCTCTTCCCACTGGGCAAAAACTAGTCGAATCAATGTTGTTTCCGCATAATTTCAACCAAATAAATATATGCGATGACGTTGAATCAATGTGGAAAACTGATTGGATTTGCAAAAAGTAATCAACGTAACGGCATTTTGTCTTTTTTTCACCCAACTTTTTAAAGTAGATCCAATGATAACATGCTTGGGCATGAATTCCCAGAACTCTCTAGTTATACACGAAATAAAGTGTCTCAGACTATGAGTGCTGATCTAGGATCAGGTCCCCCCCGGCCATATTATCTTATTAATCATTATCTAAAAGGCAAAAACTGATCCTAGATCAGCATTCCTACTCTGAGACACGTTTTGAAGGTCCTGAGCCATGTTTCTTAGCTTTTAGACATGGTTTTTGGATTGAGCCAAGTAGCAACATGACAACCTGATATCTCAATGATTGCATTTTTCACTGTAGAGACAACTATTGCTGTGTAATGATGTCAGATGTTTAAATCAAGGATATGACTACTGTACTTTCATCACCTGCTACCAGATCTTCAAAGCCGTTGACTTTGGTGTCTGCAGGTCTTGTTACCCCCTTCTGTTCCTGCTACACTTGGCTCTCTGCCCACATGGGGTTATGACCAGCACCATAAAGATTCACTTTCACTGCAGGTGTCCCTTCAAAGTGAGACGGCCCCATAACTGGGGGATGGTTCAGTTACAGCCTTGACCTTTTGGGCTGCCTGGGTGGATAGGATTAGAACCATGTGTGAGGCATCTGGGGGTGACCATTGAGAGGGCTTGCTAAAGTTTTATGGGGATTTTAGGGATGTTTATGGTGTGTGTGTGTGTGTGTGTGTGTGCACGTGTGTGTGTTGTGGGGTTGGTGGAGAGGTTCACGCAGACTTGTGGATGCCTGACCCAAAATATTGCAGGCCTGGTGCATCCTGGCTTGATGTGGTCCAAAAGGAATCCCGATTTGAACAGGACTTTCTGAGCATGTTATCATGCTCCCCAAATACCATGATTTGTATCGGTTTGTTGGATCCCCACATGAAGCATGCTAATTCTATCCTGTGTCCCAGATCTGTTTATACTGTTCAGCCAACTCATATGTCCTTTGTCTTAACATGACAATGTTACCGTAGGAGTTGGCAAAGCGGCACAGACAGGTCTGGGACCAGGCTATGGATATTCCTCTTTAGATTGCTTAAAGAAGCCATCAAAATGTCAATCACTCTTTTTAAGGAGTACCACCACAATTTTGTCGAATAATTGTTTGCGTAATGATAGATACGTTGTGACAGTGTTGTGTTCGAGACCACCTAAAGTGAGACCGATTC